CAAATTGCTGTCAAGCGTCAATCTTAGCCTCTCCCCCCCCGTCTTGGTCTGTTGTGGTGACGACGATGATAACAAAACAACGGTCACAGTGAACTGGATAAAAGTTATCCAGTCTCTTGTGTGCTATTCAATTGTAACGTGAAATCGGTATTTTGCGGGGGAATATCAAACAGAGACAATCTATTTGACCACTACCTCCACCTTCTTCAACTAACTGTCGATTATTCAAATATCTGATGTTGTTCAGTATTCGTAATGCTACAATCCATCTGATCGCATTTGACAATCTTTTTTTGAAGTTAGAGCAAATCGGGCGTGGGCGTTTTCCTGAATCAGATAAAACACAAAATGGGGTGAACGTTTTCACGGGGGGAGTAATTTGGTTAATATTTGAAAAGATTTATTAAAAGTAATGCATCTGTCAAGATGTTTTTCTTAAAATTACGAAAATATCAATCGCCTTCGAGGGATTTGAACCCACACACGGATGTCGCTATCGTTTGATTGTTTCTGAGTTTCAGAATGAGACTTGAACAAAGTCCTTTACCCTAGATTTACTTCGGTGAACTCCGATTGATTACGGAGAAAATGTGTCGAGGCTACTAGCCCAAGTCACACTTTCTGTCGATATGCTTTCGGATGTTATGCGGGTAACCAAATCTAACGCGACCCGCGCGGAAATCATGGCCTTGAAGTTCTGGTGGTAGGTTGTCTGCTTTACGGGGTCGTATGTGGTGTCCATGCATGGGTTCGTATCCCACCGAGGCACCTTATCCCTTCTGAGCGATCGATCGATCGATTTTTTTACACTCAGTGAGTTACCTGTGTGTGGACGATTTTTTATCCGAATGAAACTATGTGTATTTATGAACGTTTTTCAACCGTGTCCTGCTGCAAGGCTCTATCAAGTGACTGAGGTTCAGTGACGATTCTCCTTTGGGTTAACCGGATGGGTGGGTGGAACAACGGGATAAAAAAGCAGAAAAGAACATGATGTGGTCAACACTAACCAGGAAACAAACTCCAACCAATGTATGTTGATATGATGATTGTCAGCCGGTCAGGTTGCGTGAACGTCTGATTAGTCTGAATTGTCACCCGTACAGCACAACAATAAACCTTTTTCAATTCANAAGTTGTCAGAACATCATCTCAAGCTGTCTCTTTGATCTCATCGGCACTGACAAAGCTCACAACGATGTGTGGATGACCACCATGCAGCACAGATTTCTCTACCTCCCATTGAAGCACGGGGGGACGATTCTGAGACGTGCATCGGCCACACAGGCCTCAATTCCTATGACACATTGGTTGTTTATCTTGTAAGTNCGCGTATGCGTCTGTCTTTGTGTGTGTGTGTGTGTGTGTGTGTGTTCGTCCCCCTCCGCTGATACCAGTGAATCATGCGCGATCAATGCACGAGCCATTGCTTACCTCCGTAGCATGATGTTGCAATAGAATACATTAGCAACACCTCCAGCGATTGCACTGGGACGCCAATCTATAGTCAACACTGATAAGTATATCGATTGAACATGATGATCAGACAAATTGGAACGATACCCGGACATCTTAAAATGCTATTCGGACAACTTGAATTGCAAAAGGCATTGGTAATCTAAACCCATATACGAAGAAAACGGATTACGGGAATGCGGTAACCGGCGACTGATTAGGATTTCTGGTATGAGATGTTTAACAATCGATTTGGAAAGTGAAAAGGATGAAACTACTTGGCTGTGTGCCAAAAGTTATTTGTGATGGAACAGACAGACAACTATTTTCCAGGATCATCATGACGGGATCTAATAGGTCGGTCATGGAAACGCATCATGTTTGAAAGTGAAAAGACATTATTACTGATCGTCTATGACGGCATCATCCGAGAATCTAAAAAAGCAAAAGTCAGTCAAGTCAAGTCGAGGAATCGCTTGATGCACCCTGTGGGGTGGATGTATAGCAAACCGCATTACCACAATTTATCAACAACAACAACAACATTGGAAATATAATACAACAATTAAAAAGTGAAACGGACGACAACCCTACAAAGCCAAAAGCATACCATTTTGTTTACCATTCGTTTAGATTAGCATTTTACGCAGATTTTCTGCAACGAGTTCATGGTAGTTGAGAAATTTTGCTAGATGCAGGACAATAGAGCGCCTGTAAGTCTCAATGTGTGCCTTTATAACTTTACAACTAGAACGGATGAATGAATAAGATAGGCACTAACTTAGAGCAGGATAGAGCAGGGATGAGGGATGGGAACAGTCAGATAAGCTCGTCCTGGAGACTGTTTTACACGTCTTGATGTGGTATCAGACCTTCCTTCCCGTGGTATAAGACTATATACTAACAGAAACTTAAGTGATCGGAAAATGAGTTTGAGGTCCTTGTTAAAAAGACCAGGGAAGATAGCAGGAGACCCATGAAGCCAGTGGGGCAAAATGCAAGTAAAAACAAAACGCCTTATAAGATGATGTGGGATAGAAAGTGATTTAAGACGTGAAACCGGAAACGTAAGCCTCCTAACCTTCAGAAAAATGTCATGGACGTGGTCAGAACAGGTGAGGTTACGGTTTAAAGTAACACCAAAGTATTTGACGTACGGTTTTCGATTCATTTGGTCATTTAAGGTAGATTAAGGGGAACTGGCACTTGACAGTTCATCTTATTTGTGATCTTTCAAAAGGAGAAAATTACGTCCTAACGTTTCGGGGGTTCAGACCACTCCACTATTTCCGATATGTCATCTTGCAGAGTGGTCTGAGATGATGGGTTGGCAGAGGGCAGTCCAAATATTATATCGTCTGCATATTTAACAAAAAGCGAAGAAATGCTCACAAGCATAGAGAAAATGTACGCGAAAAATGAAAAAGAGGACAAAATAGTGTCTTGCATTACGTCCTATGAGGAAGGCAGCATTGAAGATGTACAACGTTTGAAGCGTGCGAAATGCTGATGGTTATAGAAATAGTTGGCCAAGAATTCAATCGTACGAGGTTGAACACCACCTGAAGAGAGGGCATTTGGCAATATCTACCTACTAATTGTGTTGAAAGCATCATTATAGTTAAGAAAACATATGTGGGCAACCTTGCTTTTCTTATCAAGGGTGGATAAAACAAAGTGGGAAATATAAGCAAAGGCATCCAAGGTACCTCGGGAATGGGTGCCTGCAAACTGGTCATCAACAATGAACTTTGTGGATAGGAGCCTCTCAAACACCTTCAAAATAATTGAGGTGCAGGCAATGGGACGGCATTTTTAGGAGCTTTTCTTTGGTACTGGGGTTATTGAGACTATTCTACAGTAGTTGGGAATACTTTGCTGCGAAATACAATTGCTGCAATGTTCCCACTGTGCGGGGAAGGACAACAGGGCAACTGGAATTCCAAGGATTTAATCGGGTCAGGAGAAGCAACGCTGACAATAGAAAGCGATTCAGTCAGCACAATGAACCTGACTCGTGCTCGTTTGAACGCTAACTGAAGAGATAATGATGATCTTTCAACAAGATCATTTATTAGAAAGAATGCACTGCCATTTTACTCTATACCAAACATTTTCTAAGTCGGAGCTATAACTTTTGAACTACTACAAATTTTATCGTGACATTCAAAATCGTGCCAATTCAAATAGTGATACTGTAAAAGCGTTGAAAGCCAACGGGTCAGGGATGCTGTCAGTATTGCTAACGGATCATATCCCCTATTCTCCCTTTCCACGCATGAAATGTTTGAACACGATAAACACAGAAGAATATTAATAGAGTCTCAAGAGAGCCCATGATCAACACGAACCTTGAGTCCCCTTTCTTTAACGTGCCCTGTACCTTGATATTGCCTGATACATTAGTTGCTATAATAAAACTTCGTGTATGGTAACTGCGTTCTCCTCTTGTGACTGATGGCTAGAGATGTGCGAGCGACCTGATTTCTGTACTTACTTCGCAATACAAGAGGATCAAAAAGATTGCAGTGGGATATAAAGTTCGGAATAAATACTGTTCATCCACAATTATCGATACACAAATATGATATTGAAAACTGAAATATATTTAATCAGATGGTGAATTTCGTCGCTAAACAACCAAGTAAACGATGAAATACACTATTTGATCAAACCGAGTCCTCCAATGTCATCGTGTGAAATATATTTCCAAATGCCTGTATATATATATAATTATATTGCGAAAATATAGTGAGCGATGTATCACGAATTTCACCGTCCAAAACGTGTGCGAACCACTACCAACCGAAAGTTCCCTATTCCTCATTATATTCCTGTCCGTCTTTTATGATTAGCAAGACAACACGATCGTGTGCACTTTGTCCAGAATTATTTTCGTTCTACTAGGTGGATTAATCATGTAAAGTAAACGAAATTCCTTTTTGAAATTGAAGCAACCCCTTCATTACTCTCACGTAAAGTAAACCTGTCACTTGAAGGCAAAGTTCCGTCCGCGAGGCACGAAGACATGAATTCGGTAATCGCCGAACTCCTGCATCACCCCCACCCCGTAAACCGCTATCAGATGTCCTCTCCTGTGCCACCCAGCCCGCTTGTCCC